CTATCTCATTTTGCAGATGAGGAAACTGGGGCTCAGGGACCTAGAGGGAAGAAGAACCCAGATGTCTCAGGTCTGTGCCCTGTGCTGGGCAGGGCCAGCCAAAAGCAGCGACAGAGGAGGAGAGTGCCCAGAGTAACTTCCGTCTCTCCCTCCCCAGCCCACCTCCACCCCAGCAATTCACCAGCTGTCGCTTACGGTGCCGTTCTTTTTTTTTTTTTTTTTTTTTTAAGACTGGCACCTGAGCTAACATCTATTTCCAATTTGTTTTTTCTTCTTCTTCTCCCCAAAGTACCCCAGCACATAGTTGTATATTCTAGTTGTGAGTGCCTCTGGTTGTGGCATGTGGGACACCGCCTCAGCATGGCCTGATGAGCGGTGCCAGGTCCGCGCCCAGGATCCAAACCGGCGAAACCCTGAGCCACATGAAGCGGAGTGCCTGAACCTAACCACTCGGCCACGGGATGGCCCCTACGGTGCCATTCTTGACATTAAGACTTCAGGCTGGGGCCGCCGCGTGGCCGAGGGGCTGAGTTCGCGAGCTCCACTTCAGCAGCCCAGGGTTTCACTGGTTTGGATCCTGGGTGTGAACCTAGCACCACTCATAGGGCCATGCTGAGGCGGCGTCCCACACGCCACAACCAGAGGCACTCACAACTAGAATATACAACTACATCCTAGGGTGCTTTGCAGAGAGGAAAAAGAAGAAGAAGAAAAAAGAAGACTGGCAACAGATGTTAGCTCAGGTGCCAATGTTAAAAAACAAAAGAAGCAAGCCGCTCCCTGGTGAGGCTGGGAGTGAGGACACGACAGTGGCAGCATAGGTCAGACCACTCAGACGCTTAGAGCTGCTCAAGGAAAGAAGGCAGGGGAAATCCCCAGAACAGTAAAAATAAAAACATGAAATGGCAGAAACATTTAAAAGAAAAAAAAACAGACTTCAGGCCCTGTTTTGTTTTGTTGTTCCTCATGCGAACATCCTGGAACGGTTATTTATTCACTTACAACTACCTCAGGGGTCAAAGTCTTATCGTCATGGATTTGACTGTCAGGCCCAGCGCAGTGCTTGGCAGAAAGCAAATGCTTCAGCAATGTTTTTTGACGGGTCTCTGGGATATACGTTGGATGGGACGAATGCACAGACAGACGGACAGACATGAATGCATGGCGATAAGCAGATAAATGGATACAGATGAATGGATGGGCAGTCAAGAGGATGGACGGAGGGTTAGACAGGTGAGTGAATGCAAGAATGAACTTGTCTACACCCTGCCTTGTGTCACAGAGGATTTGAGATACTTAAAAGGATTCAAGCTACTTATAGGAAAATTAAAAAATAAAATTTTAGCACCCTCTCGGTAGCCGGCTCCACTCTAGGCATTAGAATACATCTGTGAACAAGAGACAAAGACTTTTTGCCCTGGTGAACCTTACATTTTAACAACATGAGGCAGCCAATAAACATAGTAAATGAGTAAATTATAGAGTAGGTTAGAAGGTTAAGAACTACTGACAAGAGGAAAGAGCAGGGCCAGGGAGGTTGGGAAAGCCAGAGAGACAGGGCAGGAGGCAATTCTCGGGGAGGTGAGGGAAGGCCTTGCAAAGAACCTCCAGCAGAGACTGGAAGGCTGCGAGGGCGGGAGCCTGGCAGAGATCTAAGGGGAGAGCATTCCAGGTGGGGGAAGGGGCTTGTGCAAAGGCTTGGGGTGGGAGTGTGCCCGCTGTGTGTGAAGGATAAAATCAGAGGCTAAGCAGCTGGAGCAGAGTGAGGGAAAGGGAGAGGAGGAGGGGTCAGGGGTCACGGGGCGGCCAGCTCACATGGGGCCTTAGGTGACGGTGAGAACTGTGACTTTCTTGCCGAGTAACATGGGAGCTGTCGGACGGTATTGAGCAGAGGAGGGACACGATCTGGCTTAGATTTTAAAAGGACCCCTCTGGCCACTCTGTTGTAAATCAGTTGGCAATAGGAGGTTAGGGCAGAAGCAGAAAGAGCAATGAGAAGTCATCCAGCTAAGAGGGGACGGTGGCTGACACCAGGGCAGTGGCACTTAGAGAAACGAGAGATGGTCAGAGTCTACACATCTTCTGAAGGGAGATGCAGCAGAATTTCATGGTGGATTGGATAAGGGCGTGAGAGACAGAGAGGAGTCGAGTCTGATGCTGGGACTCTTAGCCTGAGTAACTGCAAGATAGGAGTTACCATCAGCCTAAACAGGGAACGCCAGGGTCAGGTCAAGGTTTGGGAGGTTGGCAATTCGGAGTTCAGGTTTGGACACGAGCGGTCTGGATGGGCCCTGATATCCAATGGAGATGTCAATAGCAGTCGATATTAGTTGGAATTCAGGAGCGATCTAGGCTGGAGATATAAATGTGGAGTCACTTACATACAAATGATATTTAAAGCAATGAGATGGGGTGAGATTACCAAGAGAGTGATACAGAAGAAGAGAAGAGGATCAAGAACGGAGCCCAGGTCATCCCAACATTAAGAGGTTGGGGAGAGAAGAGAACCAGTGAAGGAGAATGAGAAGGAGAGACCAGCGAGGAGGGGGCAGGCTAAGACGGCACAGGGTCCCAAAAATCAAGAGAAGAAGGGGGCAGTCAATTGTGCCAAGCCAAGGAAGACAAGGACTGAGAATTGACCATGGATTCTGCCTGTGCTGGCTGTTGGCAACCTTGACAAAGGGGGCGTCTGTGGAGCAGCAGCCTTGAAAGCCCGACTGGAACGGGTCTAAGACAAATGGGAGGGAGGAATTGGAGAGACTGAGGATGGACAGCTCTTGCGAGGAGATTTGCTGCAAGGGGAGTGTGGGAAGTTGTTGCTCAGCGGCCTCCAGTGAACTTGCCTCCTGGTACCCAAGTCCTTCCCCTGAATCTAGGCTATCCTTATGATCCACTTTAACCAACAGAATGCAGCAGAAGCCACATTGTACCAGTTCCAGGCTGAAGACTTAAGAAGGTCCCGCAGCTTTCGCACCCTTGGAAGCCAGGCACCACGCTGCAAGAAGTGCAAGCCACTTGGAGAGGTGGCGTGGAGGAAAGAATGGAGGCCCTTAGCTCAACAGCCAGCACCAAGCACCAGCCTTGGGACACCCTAGCCCAGTGGAGCCCCTGGAAGGATATGGCCCCAACTGATACCACACAAGCAGAATAGCCACCCAGCTGAGCCCCATCAACCCACCCACTTGGAGAGAGAACACAATGGTTGTTTGATTTGGATTGTCACACAGCAACAACTAACTAAAAGAGGAAGACGCGAATGCGTAGCTAGAGCGGGAAGAGGGGTCAGGAAGATTTTTGTTATTGTTGCTGTTGTTTTAAAGATGGGAGAAATAATGGCTTATTTGTATGCTGATGACAATGATCCAGGGGAGGTTAAAAGTGACGCTGTGGGAAAAGAGGGCGAATTGCTGGAGAGATCTCCTTTGAGCAGATGAAGGGTGATGGGGTCCAGTGCACAACACAGATGCCTAAGTGTGTGGTCAGCTCACCTGTGGTAACAGGTAGGAAGGCTGAGTCCGTGAGTGGCGATGTCAGCAGGAGGGTCGTGCGTGGTGGATCTGTGGACTTTCCCACTGCTTCGATTGTCTCATTGAATGGGAAGCAGAGAGAGGACGGGAGGAGGCGTTAAGGGTTTAGGGGAGCAGAGGAGTGAAATGGTCCAGCAGCACTGGAGAGGGCAGGAGGGGAGGTAGAGTCTGATTGCTGCCAGAACTGAGGGCTCTCCTCACATCCAAGGTCAGGAGTTTTAAAGTGAGCCCAGTGGGGGAGGTTGTGAGCTTTTCTCAGCCACAATCAGCTGCAGCTGTGTGGGGGCGGGGGCAGGGCTGGCTGAGAGTGGACAGGACCGGAGCTGTGGCTTTGTGGATTTGCCCAGCAGTCGTGGGAAGCATAAATAATAAATGAAGGAACAAAGACCTGAGGAAATGTAACTCTGATTTACAGCTCAAGACCGGGTGCAAAATTAGAAAGCAGACCATGGAGGGGGAGGGAGGGAGGAAGGAAAGAGAGAAAGAGAAGAAAAGAAAGAAGGAGATATGGCCGTGTTTTAGATTGGTATTACTAGGCAAATTGCACTTAAGTGCTAATGAGTCTCAGATCCTGTGCAGAGAACAGGTTTTGATGGAAGGGTGGGCAGGGAGTCAGGAGGGTGCCCAGAGTCCGATACACCTGCCCCCAGCACCCCCTCCATCCCCACCCCACCCAGCAGGCTGGGTATTCTGGGAAGGCAAGGTGTGCCGGCCACACACAGCCCTCACCTCAGTGACCCTCTGGCCACAGGCACACCTCCGGGTTCTGGGAAGAGAACCAGACCTGGTCAGGAGGTGGGACCGCTGGCACTCCCACAGCTTTCTGCCTGCGTCCTTGGAGCAGTCAGCCGCTCCCTGCTTCTCAGCAGAATCACATGTGAAATACAGACGACAGGGCCTAGCCCAAGCCGGCAGGGAAGATCCAGAGACCCTTGTTGTCAGCAAATTCCCCTGGCGATCCTAAGACACAGTCAAGGTTGGAAACTACTGACTTGTCTCTTTGAGCCTCAGTTTCCCCATCTGTTATAAAAGTGAACGCAAAAGTCTAGATGTGCTTCTCAAGCACAGGTTTGCTTTGAGCCCCATGAAAGCCAGGAGGGTGTCATCATTTCCATTTTTGAGGTGACAGCAATGCAGGTTTGTAGAGGCCAAGGGCTGAAGGTGGGGGCCGCAGGGTCTCTGCTGGCCTCTCTGGCACTTGGGTTAGGGGACTGTAGGAGGCTCCGAGTGGGCCAGTGTAAGCGGCCCCACCCCCGGGCTGACTCAGGCTCTCACACGCCCAGGAGACTCTGGGTGACTCAGACGAGGACCAGGCGGGCCCGCGTGTCCACACGTGTCCAAGCGTGTCACCGCACACGTGTGAGCGAGGTTCCCTCCCCTCACGTCGTCCTTCCTTGCCCTTCCCCACACAAACCCCCCCGGCTCCTCCCCCACCAGTTGCCGCCTAACCTGTGACCCGTTCTGGAACTCCCACTGCCATTTCTTTACTAGCCCCTATTTCAGAGCGAATGATTTCTGCCCAGCGTGGGGGCGGGTGAGCCGGGAAACTGGGAGAAGCTTCAGTGGGGCTGAGTCACTTTAAGAAGGAGGGTGGAGAGAACGGTGGGAGCAAGAAGCACTCAGGCAGGCCTGGCACCTCCTCTCTTGACAACAGCCACTGAGAAGTTGTCCACAAGGGGAGCCCCACGATGGGATTTCCACTTAAGAAAAGTCACTCCGCTCGTGTGCTGACGCAGGGGAGAACCGACTGGAAGAAGCAAGCCGTAAGGTCTGCAGACAATTGTGAAGCTATTGAAATCATTCAGGTAACCGTGGCCTAAACGGGAGGGCGTGCGGGGTGACCGGCTGTGGTGGCTGATTGGATGGTGGCCTGAGAGGGGCGGAGTGAAGGCCTCGCCTGAGTTTTGGGCTTGAGAGTCTGGGTGATTGTAGGTATCCTTCATGAAATGGGGAACGCGAGAGGGAGGGGCCATGTTATCTTCAGTTTATACCCTGAGTGCCTGGCCGTGGAGAACCCACCGTAAAGAGATGGAGACGCTACCACGTCCTCTCCGGCGAGCCCTCTGAGAGACTGTTTCTGTTTTCACAGTGAGAGAGTGTCCGGTGCTCCGGCTGAGGGGTTAAGGTCCCTATCAGCCCCAAAGAAGCCCTGGTGTAAATTAGAAAAAGGGGACCCCAGGGAAGGGGAGAAAATATTTGCAAATCCTATATCTGATATGGATCCAGTATCTAGAATATATAAAGAATTCTTACAAATCAACAATAAAAAGGCAGACAACCCAACTAAAAAATGGGCAAAGGATCCAAAGAGACATTTCTCCAAAGAAGATATACAAATAGCCAATAAACTCATAAAAAGATGCTCGACATCATTAGTCACTAGGGAAACGCAAATAAAAATCACAGTGAGATGCCACTTCACACCCGCTAGGATGGCTGTAATAAAAGAAAAGAAACAGACAAGTGTTGGCAAGGATGGAGAGACTCTGGGACCCTGGAACATTGCCCAAGAGAGGTAAAGTGGTGTAGCCGTTCTGGAAATCGGGTTGGTGGTTCCTCAAAAAGTTAAAACAGAATTACCATATAATTCAGCAATTCCATTCCCAGGTATATAAGCAAGAGAATAAAAGGCATAGATTCACACAAAAACTTGTACGAGAATGTTCACAGCAGATTACCCATAACAGCCAAAGGGAGGAAACCCAAGTGTCCATCAACTAATGAATGGATATGCCAGTTAAGGACTGTGCGTTCACTGGATAGTACTCAGCCATAAGAAGGAACGGAATCCTGGCACAGGCTACAACACGGGTAAACCTGAAAACAGTATGCTAAGTGAAAGAAGGCAGTCCCGTTAGGTACATACTGCAGAGCTGATTCCGTTTATGTGACAGTGCAGAATAGGGACATCTATAGAGACAGAAAGTAGACTAGTGGTTGTCAGGAAATGGGGGAAGAGGGAACTGGGAGATAGAGTTGTTTTCTTGGAGTGATGGAAAAGTTCTGGAAATGGATAGCGGTGATGGTTGAACAAAATTGTGAATAAACTACAACCACCCAAGAGGAAAAATTAGCCCCTCTTCCTATTTTAGGCGCAGTGGTTGACTTTGGCCCCAGGGCCAAGATCTCTCGCTCCACACAACCCAGCCACAGTTCCACCTCTCGGATTCCTTAAGCCAGGCCTCGTCCACACCCAGAACTTGCTCATTCTTTCCACTCCAGCTACGATTCCTTTTTGCCCTCACACACCCCTGGCAGCCTCCTGGGGACTCACTCTGCCCCGTCTCAGACTCTCCCATGCCCCAGCCTCTCCACCAAGCCACCTCCCCATTTAAAAACTCTGCTCCCCTCTTCCGGGAACCTCCCTCAGAGGAACCCCACTGGCCTCCCATCATCCCTGTGCACCTGTCAAAACACCCAATTGCCAGGTTTTCACCTGGGCTCTGACACTTAAAGGCTGTGTGACTCAGAGAATTACCTAACTTCTCTGGGCCTCGGCGTCTCCATCTGTAAAATGTACAACGTCATGTGTCTTAGCCTGCTTGGGCTGCCATGAAATACCTGAGACTGGGTGGCTTAAAGAACAGAAATTTATCTTCTCACAGTTCTGGAGGCGGGAAGCCCGAGATCAGGGTGGCAGCAGGGTTTAGTTCTGGTGAGAACCCTCCTCCGGCTCGTAGCTGGCTGCCTTCTCGCTGTGTCCTCGCCTGGCCTCGCCTCTGGGTGTGCACACGGAGAGAGAGGGGAAGTGAGTCTGGTGTCTCTTCTTATAAGGCCGCTAATCCCATGCTGAGGCCCCACCCTCATGACCTCGTCCAACCCTAATGACCTCAACAAGCCCCGCCTGCAAACACCATCACCCTGGGACTGGGTTAGCACTTCAACATATGAATGGGGGCAGAGGGGCCAAACATGTGTTCCTAACACCATGCTCACCTGCTGGGGCGGGGTGGGGCAGGGGGGAGGTTCCATGGAGCTAACCACTCAGGCCAACTTGACCACTTACTCTCCCCTGGATGCAAATTTTACTTTCCTCCCTCCAAGGGTTTGTTTGTGCCGTTCCCTCCACCTCAAATACCCCCCCCCCCTTCCACACCAGATCTTGCTCAGTTATCTTTCAAGCTCCATCTCAAAATGCACATCTTCCGTGAAGCCATTTTATGTTTACAGCTTTACCTAAAGCTTATGTAAGCATATTTATGGGAGCTTTTTAAAAAATTTTTTAAATTATGGTAAAATATACTAACATAAAATTTACCATTTTAACCAATTTTTAAGTGTTCGATTCACTGGCATTAAGTACATTCACAATGTTATGCAATCATTACCAGTATCCATTTCCAGAACTTTCTCATCCTCCCAAACAGAAGCTCTGTACCCACACAAAAGCATTTTAGTGGAGCCTATATTCATTATTAACTCTTTCAGTTAGAAGTGACGAAAAGCCCAACTCAAACAGAATTACTCCAAGAAGAGAATACATTTGCTCACAAAGACGAAAAGGCCAGGTTAGGCTTCAGGCTTGGCTGGATCTAGGGGCTCCAAAATATCATCAGACATACCACTCTCTCATTTTTTTGGCTCTCATTCTTTCTCATTCTCAAGAGCTGGCTTCATCCTCAGGCAGGCTTTCCCCTGCTTGGTGGCAAAGAGGGCGATCAGCAGCTCCAGGCTCCACCAGCTCAGCACCCCCAGCAGAAAAGACAGGCTTCTTTCCCAAGAGTTCCAGCAGACTTTCCAGGGCTCACTCTCAGTGGGTCCGTCTGGGTCACGTGCCCATCCCTGAACCAGTCCCAGTGTTTCCCCGGAGAGCTGGAACGTGCTGATTGGCCAGGCGAGGGTCACGTGGTTTGCAGCTGAGAGGTGGGGTCACCCTCACTTTAGGTACGTGGCCTGAGGGTAGGAAGGAGTAGTTCTCCCTACAAAAAGCAGGGTTCTGTCACGAGAAAAAGGGGAGCAAGGGCCGAACAGGCAAAAACAATATCCGGCCAGCCACTACCACTCTTCCAGATGTTACCTCCTCCAATCTTTTTCTCAGCAAATGGCTCCACCCTGACGTGAAGGGCAAGAGCCCAGGAGGCTCCTTAGCTGTTTCCTCTCCCTGTCCCCCAGTGTGATGGTTTACAAAGCCTTCTTTCTCAAGATCCCTGGAAGCTTTTCTCCCACCTCAATCCCCTTTGCCCCTGCCCTGGTTCAAGCCACACTTCCCCACCTGTTGGATGGTGGCAGCCGCCTCTGCACCACCTTCCTCCCTACTTCCCGGGTGAGCTTTGCCAAAGTGCAGATCTGACGTCTTCACGCCTCCCTTTGGTCTATGAGCTCGGTCAGATCCGGCTCCTGCTGCCGTGTGCCGCCTCACACCCCACCTCTCTCAGGCCAGTTCTCCTGGGACCCGCCCAGCGCCTTTGCGTGCCATTCCCCGCACCTGCAATATCCTTAGGCTTCTTCTTTGCTTGACCTTCAGCTCAAGTCCTTCCGAGGGCAGTCTAGCCATCACTTCCACCGGGAAGCCTTCCTTGGGGGCCCCCTCTGTCCCATCCCCTCCGCACACACAGTGCGGGTGTTGCCTCTCCCGGGCTCTCACAGTGCTGCGTGCTTACCTGTTTCTAGCACCGAGGGTAGCGTATTATTTTTTAAATGTTAGCCTCTGTGTTTTTTAAGGAAAATTAGATTTTTTTTAATTGAGGTATAATTTACATATAATAAAATGCACGAAGATTAAAATTTTTACCTATCTATATGCCCGTGTTACCATCCCAAAGATCAAAGTATAGACCTTCTCCAGCACTCGCTTCCGGTGTCCCTTCTAGGTCCACACAGCCCCTCCCTCTCTCCCTCCCCCCAGAGGCAACCCCTCCTAAAACCATCGATTAGTTCTGCCAGCGATTGAACTTCATATGGTAGAATTGTATATTTACTTTTTTGTTTGGTTTCTTTTATTCAAAATAACAATTTGGACTTTCTTCCATGTTGTTGTGGGCGGCAATTGTCCATCTACTTTTATTGCTGTATCCCATAGAATGGAGGTACCACAAGTTGTTTCTTCAAACTTCTGATGGTGGATATTTGAGCTGTTTCCAGTTTGGACTAGTATGACTCAAGCTGTTATGCTTTCTGTACCGTCTTTCGTGGACATATGTTTTTGTTTATCTTCAAGATAAGCCTAGGAGTACAATTTCTGGGTCATGGGGCAGATCTATGCTTGTTAAAGTGGCCGCGCAGTGTCCCCAAGTGCCTGTACCACTTTGCATTCCCACCAGGCGTGTGCGAGAGTTCCAGCGGCTCCACACCCTGCCAACACTTGCTGTTGTCAGTCTTCTTAATTTCAGCCACCCTGGTGGGGGCGTGGAGGCAGCTCTTTGGGTCGTTTTTCATTCTTGCTGGTTTCTGTTAACCAAGAGCCTTCCATCCCTCCAACTTAGGCTACTGTCTCAAGGCTACTGTCCTTTTCTGGCCCTCCAGAAAAAGAGAAACCAGAGTCTCTTCCTGGCTTTGGAGTTTCAAGAGTCTAGGTCCTCAAGGGCAGCAGGAAAAGGCTCCCGTGCATTGACGACGTGACTCTTACGGGAAGATGCACGGGATTTGGGAGCAAGGCTCCGCCTCCCTGAACTAGACAAGAGTTTCCAGACAAGGGCGAGAGAGCTGGAGCAACAGCAGCCAGGCAGGAGGAGGGTACCAGCCCCAGGGGAAGGGGCCACTGAACCTGCCCCTTCTCGGGGCATGGCCCCGAGCTGGGAGACAGACCCCAAATCCTCAGAGAAGTTCAAGGAAATTGCATGTAGAAACCATGTAGGACCTGTGCTCT